AATAATAATAATAAAGAAAAAAAAAAAAAAAAAAAGTTCAATAGGGGTTTCTCTGTGACAAGACCTGATAGTCTTCTTTGAGTATCCGCGTTCTTTATAATTATTTTTATTCTTTATTACTTAACGATATCTTGACTTGTTACCTTTCCTTTTTTCTTTTTTATATTATTTGTATCTGTATCATAAATATTGAAATAAAGAACAAACAAACAAAAAAAATTAAAGGAAAAGAATAAAATTGGAACTTCTTTCTAGTTACAAGACTTAATCAGGGGCATTCATAAAAACTTCTGTTATGGTTTGCAGATTGACATTTTCAAAACTCTTACTTCTGTTATGGTTTGCAGATTGACATTTTCAAAACTCTTACTTCTGTTATGGTTTGCAGATTGACAATTTCAAGTTAAAAAAAATGTTTGTTTTTTTGTGTGAAATAAATTAAGCCATCATAATTGTGCGGCACTTCATATAAGTTTACAAATCAAAACATTTTTATTTACAAATCAAAAAACATTTTTATTTTATTTCATGAAGTTTAATTGCTTGTTGATTTAAGTTTTAGTTTATGAATAAATAAACAGTGCCGAGGCCCTCCCAAAACCTGTCATGAGAGCCCCAAAATATTTCCACTAGGTAGTACTAAAAAATGAACTTTTTGAAATTCATTTTTTAGTACTACCTAGATGAAAATTTCAACTGGAGCTGGTTTTTTTAAATACACACATCCGTATCTACATATCGCAACGTTAGAATAATCTTGTTCTATCTCCATCTATCTCAAAACTCAAAAATGTGGAGATAGAACAAGATAGTTCTAAATTCGCGATATTGCGTCAGAATAGTAGAATAAATACATTTTTAATTACCTCCCATGTAGCCTTTTTGTTTTTACTACTAGAACTGCTTACTCATGCTTCCCATTTATGAACTACTAATACTTTCCTTAGTTTCTTAGTAATAAAATAATTGTTCAAACACATTTTGTATAAGGGACCAGCGCACTATTGACCAAATAATATTTTCCATCTCGAAAATGCTTTTGACGAAAATTGTAAATTTTAAAGTTTTCTTTATAATTTTTATACTCTCAAAGGATAGAACTTACAAAATAAATCACAAAAAAATTTAAATAACTTAGCTTTACGTTAATAAAATGAATCTCAAACATTGGGAAGTATTTTCATGCCAATTAAATTACTATTAAAGAAGTTCAGCACAAAATTATTAGGAAGTTTTCTAAGCAAGCATGTCAGTGTTATACTTCATTAGATAGCTTAAAATGTACACTTTGCCACCGCTCTTGGTTTTACTTTTGTTTTATTTTTTAATAATTTTTTAGTAAAGTAAAGAAAATTTCGTTTTTGTTTATTTCAATTGGAGTTCTTTTTGTATTTTGTAACGCAACATTTTTTATTTTTTTTTAGAGAAGACGTTCTTTTAATTAAAAGAGTATCTGACGAAACTAAAACTCTCAGTTGATGTATCTACATGTTGATTGTAAAATTAACTAGGCCTAAATCTTACTTAGTCGATGTGTACACTCCGTTACAGCCTGTTAACGAACTGTTACAGCTGTTTGTGCAGTGCACGTTCTGCGCTTTGAATTTATATGGTTCAAGTGCAGTACTTAATTTTGTTGGTGCGCAAAAGTGTGCATCAACAAAAAAACAATCTTTGTGCAATAACTCAAAAAAAAAAACATTTCGCTACCGAGAAAACGAACCTGAAACCCTTGGTTCATTTGCCGGAGGCAGAATCCACTCGACCACGCTTACGTTGCTAGTTGGAAGAAAATTGTATTTATAAATTAATATTTTTGCATGTATAATATGTAATTATTTATTATATATTATATGTTTATAATATTTTGCATGTATTATATTTTGGAAAAATAGATTCTTAAAATTGGTATCATGTTTAGGAGATGTTAATTTATACAATTTTACACAGAACTATTGGGGTGAAAAAAAAAACATTAAACAGACGTAAAACTACTAATTAATTAACTGCGTGACGTAATTTATGGACGACCCCTAAGCGCTAAAAAATTTGTTATGTAAGTGTTTGCTTAATAATAAAAATTTAGTTTTAAACTTATTTTAAGCAATCTTTTATTGCTATTTTAATATAACTGTATAACTTTTTGTATGAAATTTTGTATAACTTTATATTTGTAATTTTTTTACGAAAAATATATAATTTTTAAGATTATGATGTTTGATTTCCTTTATTGCCTTAATATTTGCAAATACGTGAAAAAAACCTCAAGGAGAAAAATCTCAATTATCAATTTTTGAGTTATCAATTTTTGAGATGGAAAATAGCGGTTGGTCCCATAGTGCGGCGTTTGAATACAAGAAAAAAAAAAACACAACAAATTTTTTGGGTATCTACGGTTCAAATCGAGAATTATAATGAATAAATTTTGAGAAATTTTTGTCTTTCCTCGTAAAACCTTTTTTTTTTTTTCATAAACTTTTATTTTTTCGGTAAAGTACAACGAGATTTGTTTTCTTGCTTCCATTAAAGCCACTGTGCTAGTTCCTCAACCAGTTTTTTGATTACATCATATTCGTTTAAAAAGACCAACTTAGTTTAAAGAGGTTGTGTAAATAAAAATCGTTCTCTATGGCAAAGGGAATGATACTCCAGACTAAACCGTAAATTTGTAGCGGAAGCTCTTTGCAAGATTGCTTGACTATACTAGTTTTACGACTTTGAGATCCTTGCTGCTGTTTTGTGAGATTTCTGTCAAGGTTGAAAATATAGTTTAAATAAAAGGAATAGCCGCTTAAGTGTCTGTTAAAAACCGGTCACTTGCAATCTTGACAAACCTTGACACTGAAGCCAATGTTTTGATTATCAAAAAATATCTGGTACAACAGTTATAATAATTGTTGTACCAGATATTTTTGATAATCAAAACACTGGCTTCAGTGTCAAGGTTTCTCAAGAGTATGAGTATTTATTATACTCAATGAATATGAATCGAGCATGAAGAATTATTATTCATACTCAATTTCTCTGCATTTTTTCTCCAACAGTTGGCAAGCTAAGAAAATCAACGTATCTTATTGGACAACATGGTTTCTGTGGTTATGGGTTGTTTGTGTTCTGGAACTCTCTCTGTAGTATGGTTTAGGCTAGTTTTTAGTAGATGGTCTACACAAGCATTAAACAATCAGTAGTGAGTTGGGATATTAAAGCCATCATTGCAGTAGCAGCAACATGCACAAACCATTTCTGAGGCACATCTTTCAAGACTGGGTACTAATTGATCATTTAACTATTTAGTACAAAGTTGCTTAAATATATCTATAATAACATAAGTAATATAATAAATTTATAACTTAATATAATAAAAATATAATAACATAAATAATATAATAAATATTATAGTATAAAAATGTAATGATAAAAATCTAGTCTTCTAATTTCTTTAATATTCTTTAAATAAAAATTAAAAAAATAATTCAAACCTTTTGTATTGTTTATTTATCTTTTTCGTATTTGTTGTAATTGTTATTGTAAAATGTTATTGTCTTAATAAATTCATCATAGTTTATAAATATTTTTAAACCTTTATCAAGAAACTTAATCAAATGCCAAACAAACAAATATTTAAATTTGATAGTTATTGCCATTCGTAAAATTTTATTATAAAAATTATTATAAAACCTTTACAATAATGTAAGGAGTGTGCTTTCCTGTGATGCTGTCAACTTTACAGTTGGTATTGCTTTAAAACGTAGTGATATATCAAAGATGTAAAGAGGTTTTCATTGCTAGATTTACAGCAGTCAGTAGTCATAGTAGTAGCTCCATCCCTGCAATAAGGCAAGTTATTCTCTAATTCTGATATACAGCAGCCTTATCAATAATAGGACGAAGTATGTAGAAGGATGAAAGGTTAAACCTCTTCAATGTGGTTGAATCCATAACTGACTCTTTATTTACAAGCTTTGAAAGGTTCAAATAGTAACACTGTAAAAAAGTTTTGTAATATTTTAGCTGCGCTTGCAATCAATTTTATTATCTCCGTATCGGTTTCTAACTGCTTCTTGTGTTGGGTATCTTCCCAACTCATATTCTTCTTTGCGCCTATTGTCCTCTGTTTGACATGCTAAATTAGGGCGTATAGTGATACTTAGTCAAGATTTTCACCAAGCTCAACAGTAACAGCCTGAATTTTACGCATTATCTTATGCACTATCGTTAGCTTCTTTTTTCGCAAAAAAAAAAAAAAAAATCCTGTCTGTGAGTAATTAACTCACAGTTAACTGTTAAAACAGTTCCATTGAGTTTCGGTCCGATGAATGTTATTTTCGATTTAAAGTTTAAATTTTGGGACAACAACAACACCAGCATTCTTTGTCTATAAATCTACCAACTTTATTTTACGTAATGGCCTCATTAATAAAACCATTGTCGTAGAAGTATTTAACAAAAAAAAACATTTTACTTAATTTTATTTATAGTCAATCAGCTGGTAGTTTAAAAAAATCCTTTTATGTTGGTTTGAAAAAAAATTAAAACATAACACGGAAACATGTTTACTTAGCAGATAACTTTAAAATAATTTTTTGCGACAAACACCGGTCTTTATTTGTTGTAATAAGTAACTTAATTTTATTTTTTAATTATTTACAACAAAGTCAAAATAAAATATAGCTGGGTTTAAGTTTTTTAGCTATTATATTTCTTTTTTTAGCTATCATATTTCTTTTAAGCTATTTATTTATTTTTTATTTTTGTTCGGTAATCCTCTATACTGGATCTACCATAGAAGGAATTGATTGCTTTCCCAGCTTCACGTATTTTTCCGTTGTAGATTAAATTTAAATAAATAGTGTTAACGGTGAGATAAATTTTTACTTATTTATCTTAAATATAAAAAGGTTCCCGTTTTGGTTAGACAAACAGTAATAATCATAAGTGACATCTATAAACAATTGCTTCAATACTAAATGATCTTTTTTTAAAAAAAAAAACAAAAAACAAAAACGAATTATAAAACTCTTCTTAAAAAACAATTTTTATATTTTAGTCAAAAATCTACTTAATCAGAAAACGTTATTCTAGTACCAGAAAATGCCACTGGGTTTAATTTCATTTTCTTCTTTGCTTGCCACGATGGATGTAAACTTTCAATATCATCATTTATTTTACGTTTAGATTGCTTGAAATCTTTATGTTTTGTTTTGGGTTCCTTAAAATCATTTCCTTTTTTAAACCTATTATAGCTTTTAACACCGAACTTTTCTTTCTTGTTATTAATGCCAGATTTTTCATTATAGGCCTTTACACCCAACTTTCCTTGATACAACTTTTGTCGTGTGCGTTGACCCATCCGATTTCGCTTAACTTTAGTAGCTAAACTATTAAAGACAACTGATGGTGCAACATTAAATTCTTCATCAATATCATGTAACGATGTTGTAGGTCTGTTAAGGAAAAAAGAATCTTGGTGCATTTTGACGTCAAGTTTTTTTTCAACTTTATTACATTGCATATCTTTATTAGAAATGTTGCTAGATTTTTTTGAATCGTTAGCGATAAACTTTTTCATTAAAGCAGTTTTACTTAGCACTTTAGATTTAGGTAAGTCAGTAACTTTTGA